TTGTTTAATTTTTCTTTTTTCACCTGTGTTTTTTGTCATCCAGTATTCTCTGTAGTATGCCTTTCTCTGTTCGATCCTCCAGCGAATTAAGAATTTCTTTATAATCTATCCTCTCTTGATCACGAATCCCAAACCTGTGTTGGAAGAAACAAAACAACTGTTCACCTATGTTTTATATGTTAAACAATTTTTAAAAAGAGTTTTGCACTGAGAAAGGAGCCACAATTTAAACGGCACTATTTCCAGGGGTGACGGGTGAGGTTTGTAGGGTGAGGATTGAGGGGAGAGGGGAGAGGGATGAAGGCGTGGCAGGAGAGGAGGAAATGAGACATTCTTTAAGATTTAAGTTCCTCACCTTGACAAAAAATGCTCTACTTCAACCGCTCCAAGATTCAGACGACATTTTGATAAAAGATGTCGAAAGTCACTTCGACTTATCTACGACGAGAAAGCAAAAGAATATTACTTGACAATCTTAGGACCATGCTGACCGTGTACTTGAAACCCCATCCAGCCCGAATTGGAGAACTATTTCTTAAACTCATTACAGTACATTGATACTCACAGTTCCAGTTTTCTTTGTGTCGAGTGCAGTACAAAGCTGTAAAATACTGTTGTAGCCAGACCGAAACTGTTGCAGGAACAATGTCAGTGTTAGAGATGTTAGGCAAGTACTTGTAACGAAAGACGATAAAACAGCTAGCCAACGAACTAACCAACGAAATTAATGGACCAACCAACTATCAACAACCAACCAACCAACCAACCAACCAACCAACCAACCAACCAACCAACAAAGCAAGCTTAATTTTACTGATGTGATAACTTGTTGAGTTTACCTTTCCTTGTAAAATGTTCAGTATATCTTCTTGTACGTTTTCTGGTGTACTTTCAGGCTGCACATCGTCGGTAGGTGATGTTGGTGTTCGCTGGTTTCCCTCGTTCTTGGAAGATACTTCCTCTCTTTTAACTGGTGATGTTATTTCAGGGGAATGACTCGGCTCAATGACATCGATTGGAATATCTAAACATTGGTATGATATATGGATATAGATGAGATATTGCCTCCATTGTGTTCGCTATCGATATCGGTATCGTTTTCAATATATCGTTATCGAAGTATATTTATCGTTACAGTCAATCACTACCGTCAGAACAAAGCTTGTGGAGTAAAAAAAAAACAGTATAAAAAAACAACAACAAGAAATAGGTAAAAAATTGAGAATTGAGTGAAAGAAAAAAACCCGAAAGAAAAAAGAATAAATTAGCTTCAACAATGTCTATTGCTCTACTGGACATTTTTTTTGTGTGTGTGTTGCCTGTCTTTCTTTGTTATTTCACCAAATCACATTCTTTGTTTTCTGTGATGGAAGTATTATCGTATAGTTATTGTTAAGTCTGTCGCTATGGCAATCGCTATCGCAGATATCGCTGTCATTTTCATTATCATTATCACTTTCGTTTTCGRTATGGTTGTCCTTGTCGTTATCTCAATCGTTGTCGTTGTCGCTATCATAGAGTCAATTTCGTATGAGTGGGAAACGGAYGGTACTGTACTGTAACCGTAATCGTACTGTAAYCAAATTCTAGTGTCTCWTTGSTTCACAAAAATTGTRCAGRCYAGGTCCGGTAACTGTGCGGTAACCGTGCGGTAATTTTCTACYGTACGTTTCCCACTCATACGAAATTGACTCTACWGCATTTCTGTACCTGATGGTTCCATTTCAAGACGTCTTAGACCGAGGACTTTAAAGAAGGTTTGGCTGTCTACAGTACCAAGTCCACTGCGATCAAATCTATACAAAAACGTAACGTTCAAACAACAGAACATTTCATTAAAACAAAGCAAACGATCGCAAAGCATCTTGGATGCAAGTGGATCTTTATAACTGAGTGTGTCTTGGATATTCCATCACAAACAAACCAATGAACCGAGGCGTCAAAGTGTAGTGGGCATACAAGAAAAKATCAGTGCTCAGTGTTGCTTGACGCCTCGGTTCACGATGTTCGAGGTCACTGAACATCGGTGTCATGGAAAATCAAGAAGACATACCTGTCCCATACTTTGTCAAACTCTTCATCGTACATGTTAACATTTAAGATATACAGCAAATGTCTGAGCTGAGGTTTGAGCACCGTGCCGTCCAGATCAAAGCATGACGTCGGCAAAAGCTTGGCGAACTCCATAAAACTAAAAATAAACATAGACAAGGGTGGCTTTTGGGGGTTCAAAAATATAGAAATAGAAACTATGACATTTATTTRACAATAGATRCATCKCATGTTCCACAGCCCTAAATGTTGTTTTCTTATTCCTTTTTTTGTGCCCCTCCCCCACAACCAAACTTTAATGTCCTGGATCATGATAGAAAACTACTAGCAAGATAAAAATAGAGATGTCATAGCTAAAGCTATATTTTGGTCCAATAGTCACCTTCMCGGTTCATTTTTCAATCTTGACTGGTAACAAAACTTTTACATAAAAGTGAGACGGCTGTTGAGTGTGCAATGATAGAAACCTTCTTTTGCGCAGACAATTATTCACAGGTATCTATCATTGCAAGCTCAATTACTGTCTCGTTTTCATATAAGGGTTTGGTTGCTTTT